GTGAACACAAATTAGTTAGCATAAATCAGTTAAATGACAAAAAATTTGGTGTATATTTACTTGTGACCACCCAGTGTATAACGAACAATAAAACTGTGTCAATCTCATTTTAACTACAATAGTTACAACATTAAATTAGGTTTTGTTAGGAAAAATTCCTATAATTGTTATCAAAGTAATTTCAAGTACCTTGAAGTAGGTTTCTGGTTTTCAAGACAATGTTTTAAATGTCGAGCTTTCGCATTTCAAACAAGAAAACACATTTATTTTCAGTCTGATGGACAACTCTGCTTTAGACACAAAATGGTGTTTTAAACTGTGTATTGTATGAAAAACTCAAACTTAGCAAATCACCCCAAAAATTATTTTTTGTGTATACTGTGTAAATAGTTTATGTTAACATGAATTTTGGGGTTAGTTGTTCATTAATATATCCATGTTATATATATATATATATATACCTCCCATCCCCTTCTACCATCAACTTGTGCTAAATCTGCAAGACTGCACATAAGAAAATCAGTTGCCAAAAGTATTTGGAAGCCACACTGGTGATTATTTGTAACAGTACGGAGCACTGTTAGCAACGAAAATTAACCTGTTTATTTGTATGATTAAACATCAATTATTAAAAAAATTAATAAAGATCTTTGTGCCAAGATGTAAAACAAGCAAGCACTACAAAAATGACTGAAATATATTTAGTGGCAGTTTCTATTGAATTTTATTGTTGTAGCTCAATTACTGTCTGAGATGTGTTCTAAGCCCATTTTTTTAAAATAAATGTTTCTTTTTTCATTAAAAAAAGTACACATTAACATGTTATAGATAATACATTGATTCTGTTTCTTCATACATGTCATGGATCAGCTGTACAAACAGCTCTGGTACAGTCATATTTATAAAGCACCATCACAGCTCTCCTCCATAAGCTTTTTCCATAAGCTCTCTCTCTCTTTTTTTTTTTGATAATATATATAGTTGTTTCAAACATACAGTGGAAAATGCCAAATTATTTAAACATTTATAAAAGTGTGATAAGAGACACGAAGAGATTTCCAGTGAAACTGTGAAACCATCAAGAAGCAGCAGATTTATAAAGCCATATTCTATGAGGCTGAATGTGGCAGAAATGCAAATATTAAGATGGATGACAGGGGTGTTAAGAAAACATTGCATCAGGAACAAAACAAGGAAAGAGTGAAAGTAGTATCAATTATGGGGAAGATGAAAGAATTTCACCTCAGACGGCTTAATAATGTGAAGGAAGACAAGAGGATTATGTTGGTAGAAGAATGATAAATATGGCAGTGGAAGGGAAATGGACAAGAAGAAGACCCAAAAGAAAAATGTAGATGTAGTGAGAGAGGATGTAAGAAAATGAAGTGTGAATGTAGCTCTGATATAAAATAGCAAGAATCAGAAAAGCAGACCCCAAGTTACTGGGACAAATGCTAAGAAGAAGAAGATAGGAAAAGGTGTTTAATTTATGTTGCTCCATGCCCCAAAAAATTAAATTTGGTTATTTGACGTGTAGTGTTTTCTTAATACTTCATCCACTGGACAAGTACACTATGTTAAATCACACTGTTTCAGCAGAAATCTGTATTTTATGAATATTTGATTTTAAGGTAACAAATTAGGAAAGTGTTTCTAAAATGCAATGCAGATTATTTCAGGGGAAGTGCTTTACAGACTATTACAATTATACAACACCTCATGTCTGAAAAGGACGTGAAATGTGGAAACTAGTTTCTATTCAAATTTAATATTGTTCCCTTAGTATAGATTTAAACTTTATTGTAAATTACTTTACACAGTACTGTGTATTTATCTATTTTTTAGGCTGGCATTTACTTTTTGGACTTGGATTTTATGAATCACTATATGATGACAAGTGGTGGGATAGTCAAGTGTCAGTTATATGCTTTAGTACAAGTTATCATTTTAAAAATCTTCAGCAGTACATTGTATACTTTCTAAAGCCTTGGTTTAAAAAAAGCCAATTTTAAGTACTTTCAAGGCTTTTATGCATTATTTCTATAACTGGTTATGTCAGAACTGTGGAGCCCAGCTTAGAAACCTTAGGATAGATTCAGTAATCTATTTTTTTAAGAAATAGAGAAATTAATAACTTTTATATAACTCATATTAATAAACCACAAGCTTAATCATGCTATTAGGTACAATTATATCCTTGTATGTGTGTAATGGTGAGAATACCAAGATATGCACAAGTCAAACCAAGTGTAACAGATGCATCAGCAAATATGTAAAAAGCCAGCAAAATATTGGAAAACCAACAAGCCATCAGCATTTAAATTGTAACTTTTAAAGTATTATACTGCATCTATAAGTAGTATTTCATAGAATATTTTGTCTTTGCATCCAGCCCAACTGATGAGTTGTGGTACTGAATTAAAGGTTTATAGAGCAGTGACCTGTAGGTAAGGAAAAAAAAGACAGATTTTAAATGCTATTTATTACACACACCTCTGATTTTGAGCTACAAAAGAAAAATTAAGAGGAATGTGGGGAAAAAAACTATTTGCAGTTAACCTGTTTTGAAATCAGTAAGGAAATATAATGCAACACTTTTTTGTGTATATTAAATAATATATCTAACAACTAGAAAATACCTACCAGCAAAAAGCTCAGTGAAAGCTTCATCAGGTATTTTATTCAAAACTTCTGTAAAATCATGTTCTTCTAAAAGTTTACTAGCTTGATGTGCTAGTTCAGCAGCATCAAGAGGAAATTCAAGGGTTTTTTCAATAGTTCCTGAAAAAAGTATAAACTGATTTTTTTAACTTGTAATATATTTCATCCAAGATATAATTTTTTCAGAAAAAAAAATACATAACTGTAGTTACAAGTTTGCAGTTTTTTATTTACTTTTCAAATAATATCTAAATTAATTGCAAGCATAATTTAATATTTTTGAAGAAAAATGTCCAGAAAATATTTATTAAAACATTAAAAAACACAAATACGAAGCTCAAATTTATATCCACCCCTATGTGCTAACATAAATGATTCAAACAAAAAAAAAAAAACCCTATAGATTAGTCAAAGTTTGAAAATAAGTTTGAAAAGAAATTTACCTTTCAATGCACAGCTAATGAACAAAGATTATAGCTTAACTAACTTTGAAAGCAAAGAAACAGAATAATGTTTAACTGAACCTGAACATCAACCTTTGGGTCATCTTGATTTTGATGTACAAATAGAACCTGTCACATTATTTTTTTTAAAGAACCAATAAATTAATGTTCAGATATCAGTAGCCTTAAACCTTAAATACAACTATGATCAAGTATCCTAATTAAAAATTAATGCAACAGCTTCGACATTTGTGTTACCTTCAGGACTTAAACTAATCTTAGTAAAAAACAAACTACAACACACCACCTAAAGATTGACCATGTTTTGGTGAAAGTAAAAAATGTTAACCATTATGTGATCTTGAATTTTAAATGAAGATTAAGGCCTAATGAAGTATGAATAAATCAAATTTGGCATTCATAAGAAGTGATGTTTCCTACCCTTTGTTCATGCACATGTCTATTATTGAATATACATGTGTAGAAATTCTCATATCCCTCACATAAACACACATCTAGTGGAAAAGTTCAAGGGAATACATAATTTCATCAAAGTGGAAACATCAACTACTTTCAAGATAAACAAATCCAGATTATCTAAGAATATATTCTATAAAGCATGCTGAAAATACATAATTTCAGAATTTGGGTAAAATAGTGGATGGTTATGATGTGATCATGAGTCTAGACTGATCAATGTAGTTTCATATATTTAGTATTGGAGCTCTTGACTGGTCATGTGACCTCTTTGTACTCATTTCAAGTCTTTATAGATTTAATATTTCTAATTTTCAATATAGTGTGTATATCTTCACAAAATTTGACAGTCTTTCACAGTTAATATTGTAAGTCTTTCACATACAAAAAATCATATTTTTTAGTGAAGTTACTTTGATAAAATAAAATAAAGATTTGTCAATGAATATATTGAGTATTTGTTTGAATAGTCCATGTGCAAAGTTAATTTTCATTAGTTAAAAATTAAAAATACTTTTCTTTATCTCAAACTTTCTTTGTATAATCCCTAAAACCTCCTGAATGCATTTCAAACGTTTTTTTTTCAGTAAAACTTTAGAGTTTATCTTTTATTTCTCTACCCTAGCTCAAAACGGGATTGGTCAAATCGACCGACCTCGTAACCATACAAAAAAAAACTAAATAAATCTTAATTACGCTTTTTTTCTTTCTAGAATGACTTCAAATTGTAACATGAAACTACATTCGTTTATACTAAGTAGCTCTAATTCCAACAGTATACAACTATTTATAATTAAATTTTATTGTTTTATTCTCCTTTGATCCATGTCTAACTACTATCCGTGCCATTACAAGTTGTAAGTCGCTTGGGAAACGTGCAACTCATGTTACACTAATGAATTACATTACCCAGGAGCTACTCACGTGTGTGCTTCATGAACCATTTTTATTATACTATTATTATTACTTATTTTACCTAATCTAGTTTGAAATAACTTAAAAAGACCCATATTTTTATATTTTAGTTACATTTATAATAACAAAGAAAGAATATGAAAAACAAGAAATAAAGTACTTACCCAATCTTCGTTTTCTAGCTGTCAGGTTTTCGAAGAGAGTTAACCCTAATTTTATATACTAATGGTAGTAACATACCAAATAATTTTTATTTCATTAAATAATGCACCAAAGAACATATACTAATAACATGAAAAAAGTATACAATATCCCCTAACTCTCAAATTTTTTCTGGCTTTCTAACTATGCAACAAGAGTTGTTACAAATTCATTCAAGCTAGTCATTAACTATCCCATGGGAACTATATTAGTACTCTGGGTGAAATTGACATTTAATTATGGTTTGTCTCAGCAATAACAATTTTATAGAGAGTAATTTACATTTAATTTCGTACTTTTTCGAGGGGTGGTGGATAAAATAGGGATGATGACATGCTAAGAGAAAATGTGTCACGTGGGTCACACTATGGGAAATTCAGGATTTTTTAAAATAATGCCTTGTAGAATTAAGAACTTAAAACTTGTATACTGTTAAGATATGGATTATTAGCTAAGATTTTATGCTATTCTAATTGGTATAACATAAACAAGAAGTAGTTTAATAAAATTTTGAATGTAAGATACTAAAACCTTGGGTCATGTATGTGCAATAAAGGATACCTGTGGTGACAGGGTTAAACAGGTTTGTCAGCCAACCCATGTGTGCAACACCCACAGTTTTGAAACAGTCAAATGCCAACTTATTAGGGTAAAGGATGATCAAATATCTTCACAAAAGCATCCAATATTCTGTCCCTAAACAGATGATATCAATCACACACATACCTTGATATGATGCAGGTCCATACAGCTACACAAACTTATGCTAGTCCATATACAATGAATTAATGCCCACCTTAAGTGTTAAAAGCAAAATATCTGAAATACAGAACTTTCACGTATCCATACAGCATGCTATGTACCTAGATTCAGTGCATTCAGTGTTTTATAAACAAAAATGGAGAAACACCTAGACTTCTGATATGTAAGTCAGCACTGTTTTTAGCAATCTTCTGATTACTTCTTTTGAAACATTATCCCCAATTTAATACCAGATGAGGCTGTTGCTAAAAGCTGTGAGTAGTAATTAACTTTATCTCCTTACAATTGATATATAGCAACCTTGCACCATCATTTTCACCATGCCCACATTTTGTTGAGGATCAAGTGGTACCCAATTATCAACTAAAGGCTCTATAATTATTACAGTTTTGGGAAACTAAGGAATTTCCACTTGGAGGTAGGAGACTGCAATTTTAAGTATGCCAGTACTTTTTCTCAAGATTAGGCATAGCTAATGTTGTTGTTCCATGCATTTAATGATTTGAAAGTGGAAATTATTTTGTGAAAACAGCACTACACGTGTCATTTGATTATGATCTATGAAATCATCACTTTATGGTGCAGTATACCAGGTTTTATTTTATTTTTTCCCTTATGATTAATAAGACACGTAACCAGAATCTTCACTACCTCCTAAACATATATTAAATTTGTTTGTAAGTAGCTTTTTTCAATTTAATTTTACTATTACTGAAGTAGCAGGAACAAGTTAGAAGTGTAACTCAACAAAATTTAGAACCTGGGTGACTGAATGGACACATCTTTAAAAATATAAATAATCAAAACATATTTCTCAACAATGACTAAGTAGTATTTAAAGATGCAATTAAAACCAACAGCTAAATTACTGAAATCAAAATTCTGGGAAGTCTGACACAATTTACTTAGTGGAACTGAAATGAATGCACCAAGTTAGGACAACTCTAAGAATCTTTCTCTTTGCAGAGCCAACTTACTCTGTTCAACATGATTTGCACAGAATACGTGAAATGAAATTCCAGAACTATTCAGAACTAAACTGTCATTTTTGAAGGACCTAATTTAATTATTTGAACAGGAATTCCACCAAAATTAAAGAATTAATGTTTTATCATATTTCATAAAAAATTTCAGTAACAGCTGTACAAAACATTCTAGCAATAACAGTAACACCTGAGCTACCAAGGAAACACCATTTACTGAAGCAAAAAAAGAGGACTATGAAACAGGCTCTCTCAACATTGGCTTGGTCAACTTGACCAACCACATGACCTCGTTGCACTCGTTTGAAGTCTTTATAGATTTAATACTACTTCACAAAATTTGGCAGTCTTCCAGTAAAGATTGTAAGTCTTTCACATACAAAAATTCATACTTTTTTGTGAAGTATTTTTAATAAACTAAAATAAAGATTTGTCCTTGAATATATTGATTATTTGTTTTGAATAGTCCATGTGCAAAGAAAGTGATTTTCATGTTAAGATTAAAAATGCTTTTCTTCCTCCCAACTTTCTTTTGTGTAATCCTTATATACTCCTTAATACATTTCAAACGTCTATTTTCAGTAAAACTTTATATTTTATCTACCCTATCTCTATGCGGGATTGGTCAAATTGACTGACCTCGTTACCACCAAAACAAAAACCTTTTTTCTTTTATCCTATGTAATTTTAAGCTCGTAACAGTATACATCTATTTATAATTAAATTTTATTGTCCTTTGAATCGTGTCTAACTTCTATTTGTGCCATTATAAGTTGTAAATCACTCGGGAAATGTGCAGCTCATGTTATGCTATCGAAATACATTACCCACGAGCTACTCGCATGCGTGCCTCGTGAAACATTATTATTTCTTTTTGCTAATTTAATCTTAACTAACCTAAAAAGATTCCTATTTTTATATTTTAATTACTTTTATAATAATAATTAAAGAAAATACATGAAAACAAGAAATAAAGCACTTACCCGAATCTTCTTTTTTCTTCTTAACCCTATTTTTTTTTTATACTAATGGTAGTAATGCACTAAATAATTTTTTTATTTAATTAAATAATCCACCGAAGAACATAGACTAATAACATGCAAAAAGTAGACAATTTCCCCTAACTCTCAAATATTTTCTGGCTTTCTAACTATGCAACAAGAGCCATTACAAATTCATCCAAGCTAGTCGTTATCTTTCCCAGGGGAATGAATCTTGTATTACAAGTGAAGTTGACATTTATCTGTTCAGAAGACAATGTTATACAATACATTATTTGATAGATGAAAACCTCGACTTTTATTGGTTATAGGTAATATATAATTAAACATAAGAGAGAACTATTAACAAATCCTGAAAGAAGATATAAGAGGTGGGTGTGGCAAGAGGGGTCTGATTTTCTATTTGATAGTTCTGTAACCAAATAAAATTGAAGAATATAAAAATTATGGTTTGTTTGAGCAATGACGATTTTATAGTGAGTAATTTACATTTAATTTTGTACTTATTGAAGGGGTGGTGGATAAAATAGAGAAGAGGACATGCCTAGAGAAAAGATATAACATGTGTTACACTAAGGGAAATTCAGAATTTTTTTATAAAATTAAAAAGTTAAAACTTATATACTATTAAAATATGGGTTATTAGCTAAGATTTTATGCTATACTAATAGGTATAACATAAACAAAAAGTAGATTAACACAATTTTGAATGTAAGTCACTAAAATCTTGCCATGCACAGTGAAGAATGTCTGTGGCGATACAGATACAAGTTTGAAGTTCTTAATTCTACAAGGCAATATTTAAAAAAATCCTGTGTGACCAACATGACACAGTTTCTATAAAGACAAACCATAATTTTTAGTCTTCAATTTTGTTTGGTTATAGAGCTATTGAATAAAAAATTAAATCCATCCAGCCACATCCTCTCTTTCAGAATTTGTTAATTGTTTGTTTGTTATGGATTTCACACAAAGCTACACGAGGGCTATCTGCACTAGCCGACCTTAATTTAGCAGTATAAGACTAGAGGGAAGGCAGTTAGTCATCACCACCTAAAAAAACAATAAAACTTAATTATAAATAGATGTCTACTGTTAGAAACTTAGAGCTACATAGGTAAATGAATGTAGTTTCATGTTACAAGTTGAAGTCATTCTAGAAAGAAAAAAAGGTAATTCAGATTTATTTCGATTTTTTTTATAGTTACGAGGTCAGTCGAATTAACCAATTCCATTTTGAGATTGGGTAGAGAAAATAAAAGACAAGCCATAAAGTTTTGCTGGAAAAAAAAAAAAAGTTTGAAATGCATTTAGGAGATTTTAGGGATTACACAAAGGAAATTTGAGATTTTGGAGACAAGGAAAAGTATTTTTAATTTTAACATGAAAATTACTTTGCACATGGACTATTCAAAACAAATACTCAATATATTCATAGAGAAATCTTTATTTTATTTTATTAAAAATACTTCACTAAAAAATATGATTTTTTTTATGTGAAAGACTTATAATATTAACTGAAAGATTGCTCAATTTTGTAAAGATATACAAACTATATTGAAAGTTAAAGTATTAAATCTATAAAGACTTAAAACAAGTACAAAGAGGTCACGTGTTCGGTCAAATTGCCTGAGCCCATATTGAGAGTTAATGGCTACTGGACAAGGAGAAGCACACAACTCTGTTAAATAAAAACAAGATCTGCTTATAACTATATTAAATCTTAAGCTTCACCACAGCTCCCAAGAATGCCATATCATCCATCAGCAGAAAAGGGAAATCAGAGTTACCACTTCTAAATCTTCACCTATGAACAACAAGCTACAAAAAAATCAGAAAATCATTTCACAAATTATCCAGGATCAGTATGAAGTCTTAATTCTTAAGCCTTCCAATGAGGGAGACACTTCTTAAAGGCAAGGTTTAGAATTTGTACTTAAGTAACAGAAACATGTACACAATTTTCAAAAAATTACATGAATAAAATCCATTCACTTACTGTTACACAGCAGGCTTAGTTTTTGATACCTACATATTATAACTGGAAAAGAAATATTTTAGATACATATTTCTTTGATATTACTTCATAAGTTATAGATTGAAAAACAGTGAAAATTTAAAGTGATCTGTAAACAATATCACTGTAACAAAAATCAACAGTTTTTAAAAAAAATTATATACTTTATTAAATAGCCAATATAGACCTAGTTTAGAAAACAGAATTTTTAAATATAGTTTGACCTGTAAGAAGGAATAAAGTTCTAGTTAGCAGTTACATGAGGATAAAAAGAGTAAAAGATCTGAGAAAGCTACAAGCTCACACACTAATCAGAAATTGAATTATCAACTGACAAAAAATACATTGTACATAGTGTGAGATAGTATGGAACAATGGCATTGTTTCAATCTTGTTCATGCCTACTTGTACGTGTCTATAAATACAAAACACCCTGTACAGAAATACACTAACCTGGTGAAAACTGCTCCTCAAGGTCACTACCCAATTCTGAGTTAAGCTGTCCACCTAGATCTTTAACCTCTCCAACATCACCTGGTGATTCTACTTCCACAGATACTGGTTCACTCTTTATAACAGTGCTACTGTTTGATTCTAAACATGAAGATGAATATATCAAACCTCTGACAAGTTAATGTGACTGATAAGTCAAATCATAAGAAATTCAAAACTCAACAACTCATTTTACAGAAGTAGTGAATGTAGTATTGAACAAACTGTTACATTTTTTAGAATCAAACAACTTATCTAAGGTGTAATTATAATTAATACTTAACAAGAAAGTCAAAATCACAAATAAATATTTGTTGGAAGTTGAAAAATTGAATGGGTAAAAAGTTCTATATGAATACCAATAGTTTAAAGTTAACGACTTATTAGAATCTGGTGAAGATACCAGTGCAAGACTGCTTATAAACTATACAGCCCCAATATATTGATATTTTACTGCACAAAGTAATAATAATATCTCATTAATTAGATTTGAAATCTCATGAGGACATATTCCACAAAAAATATCTTTCTATATAATTTTATAGTATTATGTAAAAAAATAAATAAAATAAAGATTAGAAGAATGTAATATGGTCCTATGAAATGGCATTAAAAATACATACCATTTTCATTCAGGTGAGAACTTAATGTGGGCGATAAAGGACGGATGTTTTGATGCTTCTTTTTCTTTTTATTCCTTTTAGTGGGCCTTGTCAGAGCAGAGGGCTTTGGTTTTTTTCTTGGCTTTTTTGGTTTGGGTTCAAATGCTACTTTGTTATAATTATCCTGATAAAATAAATCATGAAATATTATAAAGTTATTAAAAATACAAAACAAATCTTGAAACTGAAAGCATTAACCAAGACTTTTCACAACATTTACAAGGTTCAATATACAAACATACTTGTTCTCACCAAATAACCAAGTGTAGTAACTTTTTCTGTTTTTGTGATTAAACTTTACTTGTAGTTAAAAGTTACTTAGCTTACTGTTTGGATTGTGAGAAACTCCGGGTACTATTTTAGGCATTACACAATAGCCTACATGGCAAGAAAAGTCTTATAAAATTCTGTTCAAAGCTATAAAATATATACATATTTTGACTCCTTACACTCTTACACGGGTATTATTAACATGTAATAAATAGATCGTGCAGTAGCAATAAATTTGTAAACAAAAATTGAGATTTAAGAGACAATTATTTGTTTAAGCATAAAGCTGAATAATGTGCTATCTGTGTGGTTCACACCACAGAGATCAAACCTTGAATTTTAGAATTAAAGTCCTCAAATTTACCAATGAGCCAAAAAAAGGAGCTGAATACATTTAGCATCTGAGAATTTTAGCTTCAAATAGGTTTGCTTTATACTTGTTAATAAATATATTTAAAAAACAAATATATACAAACACACACACACACACACACATACTGAACCAATAAGAAAACAGTGAAATAGAATTCAGAGCATGGTTATAAAAAACTCTGGCAAAGTATTACAGTCCAGACCCGCATACCAGTCAACTCAATATAGTAGTCAACCCTTAATTACAGCTATTTTGGCTCAGTTCCAAATATTTCCTTCTATTTTACATTTGTAAAACATCCTTTATTATGGGCATTCATAATGTGGTCACCTGTTTCCCACTTCCAAGCGGTATCTTTGAACTCAGTATTGTGGCCACCCAGGCCGGTTCTCACCTGCCACTGCCCAATTGAGACCTGTCAATCAAAGTAAGGCCACTACTGTACATCGAATGATAATGGCCACATTTTGTCGGTGTTATAAACCAGGTGACCATTGATGTTCCTTATTAGTGGCATGCTAATCCTACCTGATGTTTTACACCTTGTGCTGCACTGATGATCACACAATCACACATACACGATCAAACAAACAGTATGTTTTCACACTCATTTAAACTTTGTCATTTGTAATACTTCTAGTTTGGTGTCTCTTTGATCTTCTTGTGAACAAAATATTTGTTCAAAAGGGAAAATTTGAATCTTCATTTCAAGTTTTGTCACCTTTCCCTCCATTTTGCAGTAAATAGAGTGCTGCTTTCTCTGCCAAGTCAAATGTCTCTGTTCTGACATACTGTGCACACATTGCGATTTACCACTGTGACTACCACTGCAATTACTGCTGCTCAGTCATTTTTGGGCTGTGATTGTGTTGGATCCTAATTTTCCTCTGGGACTTTTGTACTGCTTCATGGATTACCCATTCCTGGATTAACCAATGTGACTACCACTGTGATTACTGCTGCTCAGTCATTTTTGGGCTGTGATTGTGTTGGATCCTAATTTTCCTCTGGGACTTTTGTGCTGCTTCAAAATTGGCAGGAAAGTGCATGCTAAATTCTAGTGTTATAATTTTTTATTAAATTTTTGCCAATTCAATGATATGAAAAAAACCTTTCAATTGAAATCATTATGTTAAAACTGACAATCCAGTTCAGACTGATGATCCCCACTTCTGTTCTTCCACTGATACCTTAATTAATGAATGCCAGTCAGTAAAACTAGCAACTACAGATCACTTCTTGTCATTTCCACATCTAATATTGATGGAAATGGCATGAAGTTGTTGTTTCATGATTTGAGTATCATTACTGCCAGGTATGTGCACATAAACAACAGTGCTATTCCTTGGACTCTGATACTGTGTGGAGCAAGGAAAATTCATGAAGCTCATCGTCGTCCTAAGTTTTGCATTTATCTGTTAATCAAAAATACAGTAAAGAATTTTATTTTTTAGACACGAAATGCAAAAATAGGCATGTAAACATGTTATTACAACATTCTGTATCAAACAGAAACATAGAAAGATGAGTATTATGGGTGAGTTGTAGGTGAATGTACTGTGCCTTTGAGTCCTCAGTCTAATCCTAGAGTTAACCCCATACAGTGACACCCAGTAATACGGCCACCCTGCTATGCAGCCATTAATTGCTTAGACCCACAGCTGACCATATAAATAGAGCTGGACTCTATCAAACTCTGACACCTCAAGTCTGAGATGTCAGAATTTAATAATACTTTGCCAAAGCTTCCTATAATAGAAATCATCATGAGGATTAATTATTATCAACATGATGATTTCTATTCACAAAGTAACTAACACTTTTTTAGAATCAAATAATCACATCATATGAAATCTAATAACAACAAATTTATTATCTACATTAATTTGGTGCCTTAACCTTATAATTAAACTTCAAACAACTGAATATTTCCCGCACTTTGATTTTTTAACACAATATTTCTGTATGTTAGCAAAGAAGCAGTTAACAAAAATACAGTCAAAATAATTCTTGCATATCCTGCTATAAATGTTAGAAGAAAAAAAACGTATCGTGTCACATTTCATAGGTTCTTTCTGGAACATAAGGTACCACATTGTTCTGCTGATTATTACTCTTACAAAATTTCTCTTTGTATATATTTTACTTCAAATAATATTTCTTTTATAGACAGCAATTAGTACTTTTTGACAAGTTTATCATAATGAATTCCACACATTTATACATAAAATCTTACCCTTTTTTTGGCATGTTCTATACAAAGCGGTAATTCATGCAATACATCAAAAACAGGTATGCAACATTGTGTATTATCTTCACATTTCCCTGTACAATGCTCAAAAAGCAGCTGATCTACATTGTACATTATATCTGCACATATCTTAAGGGACTTTAAGAGCAACAAGATTTTAGTCAATTTAAAAAAAAGTTAAATACAAAACTACTACCAAAATAAAATAATCAAACTTTCTTAAAGATTTCTTCTGCTTGAAAATGTTTTGCTTATCTAATTGTTTTTACCTTGTTAGATATAAAGCTAAACACTTTTAAAATCACTAACATGCTTTGCAGAAAACTAATTAAAAAACGTACTTTTTGCATGATAATTGTTGAAGTATTTGTTAATAGAATTAATTTATCTGTAATAATTATTTTAACATTGAAAATATTTCCTCAAAACTTCCATTAAACTACATCAACAAACAATATTCTATAATGTAAATGTTTTAATTCAGATTGTAATATGATTAAAAAATATAAATACAGTGAAACTCCGATTTTAAGCGCCCTGATTTAACGCAAAATATCATGATGTGTCATTAACTCTTTTGACACGGGCTCGGTCCTTGGGACAAACTTCATAACCATAACCTCATTATAATTTACGTACTAATAACTTTTAATATTTTAAGTGTATCTTTACAAAATTTTGCAGACTTTTAGTAAACATTAAAAGCCTTTTGCACACAAAAATCAGATTTTTTAATGAAGTATTTTCACTTAAATTTGTCCATGAAAATATTGATTCTTTTTTTAAACTTAGTCTGAGTGCAAAGTAATTTTCATGTCAAAATTAAATATACTTTTCGTCATCTAAACAATCTCAAATTTCCTTTGTGTAATCCCTAAAACCTCCTAAATGCATTTCAAACGTTTTTTTCTCACTAAATCCTTATAATTTTATGTTATTTTCTCTACCCTAGCTTAAAACGGTATCGGTCAATTCGACCAACCGAGTTTATTACCTCCCCAAGAACACTACATCCAAGATCCAGCCCCTAGATCAAGGAATCATCTCCATTTTCAAGCAGAATTACAGGTGGGAATTAATTTGTAGAATTGTAGACGATCCAACAATACTTGAAGCCTATCTGAAAAGCCTGGACATGAAGGAAGTTTGCCACTTAGGTGGGAAGGGCTGGGCAGCAGTCAGCTCATCGTGAATAGAGAAATGCTGGTAGAAGGGTCTGGGGCTAGACCCTTTTCATCACGGCAATCCATCACAGAAGATGATGATGATGACGAGACAAATTTGTACGGCTTCACAGAGGAAGATGTGCATGAGGCAAAGTAGCTGTCTGAAAGAAGCAAAGAAGAGCTACACCAGTGGCACTCTGTTGATGATGAATGCCCAACATACGAGCACTTGACGGACTCCAAAATTGTCCGTAACGTAACTATAGCACTGACTGCGGCAAGTGTACCAGTTCTCAAGTCACAAGAAGAGAATAACGACGAACCTCCATCACCACCACCAAAAGTGTCTGAAGCCATTGAACACCTCAAGGCTAGCCTCCATTGGCTGGAGACTCAGGAGGTGGACCACATAAAAATCCTCCAACTCAGAAGCATTCTAGATTTCGCTCGCAGCCAGAGACATGCTACGTTCAATCAAGCAAGGAACACTCGATCAGTTTTTTAAGAAATGAACTGCAAATGATGATTGTTAATACTCTTGAATGTTTTTATTTGTTGTTTTGTTTATAAAAAAGCCTACTAAAAATAATTTGTGTTTTAATTCCTACTGTAACAACAACGATTCATTTGTAAAATTCTTTAATTCAGAGGTAATTTACTTGCCAGAAATGGAACATGTAAAAACTAGTCAAAGAGGGAGAAAATTGAGGCATTTCAGGGTGTTACATCACATTGGGTCAATTTGAACAGTGATTTTCTTAAACCTCGCTTGTTTCGCGATGACATTTTATGGACCTCAATGATCGTATTATAAAGGGGCTACAATGTATATACAAGCAATTCATTAAACTCCACATTCAAAACAATTGTTTGCAAGAGATAATTCACACAACCTGAAATCACTGAATAAGATATAACCATTTTTCCAAATTTCTATTGAGCAAGATATTATTTTAATATTTTTCATGTTAAAAAAGGATACGACTGATACAATGCCTGGTGTAGGGCAAAGCTGGTAGCAAACAAGGTGTCCCTTCATCTTGGTAGCAGCAAATCCTTTTATCTAAACCAACAGATTTCATACTAAGGGAGAAAAAAAAGAAATATATATGTAAAGTTATATATATATATATGTGTGCCATTATTTCATCACACTAAATGAACACAAAGGAAAGGTTTCACTACTACAGGCATCTGATCCTAGAACAACTTCCAAAGTTTATTCTCTTTAGGGCTTTAGACAATTCAACTTGACATATATGTTAAAAACTCCAATTTATGATTATAATACCTAGGCTTTGGCTTTTATTACAATAAATTAACTTTTTGTCTATTTTGTTTCATCACTTTATTGGATTTTCACCATGACCAATTTATCCTATATAACTAGTAGAGTACATTCTTTTAAAACACAACTATAAATGATATTTGTAGCATTATCTTCTAACAAGACCTATTCAATGACAACCTGTATTGCTGAAGACACATATGTTAGTCAGAAGCAATTTTTAGCTCAACACATAGCCTTATTTGCATGACAGTCTTATCTATTATTAGTCTTATTCGCATGATTTATTCAATTGCACTGTAAAATAATTGTCAGATGAAATCATTTGAAACTTCAACTGAAGTTTCTGTAGACTACATAGCTTCTGCAAAATTAAACGTCTTTTTTAGATGTTATACTTGTGTGAACTTGCAGCTTTGAAAAGTCAGACAAATTTCACTGCAATATATTTTTAAGAAACAAATTAAAAAATTACTTACCTTTGTTATGAATTTCAAGTACTAATTTTTATGTCTTTCTACACTGTCGTAAAATGTTACAATTAAGTTTTTCTTCTTTAAAATTGTAAATTTTATCTTTGTTTGAATTCAAAAAAACACTGCATGCTTTTTCACTGGTATACAATAAAAATAAGCCTTCTTACTACACAAAAATTATAAGCATGTTGACGTTTTTAAATTTTTAATTGTTCATTTAACATGTGCAATAAGTTTTAAACCTATATTTATAACATAATGCCATATAATAATTCAGTTGATATATAAAATGTTAAAGCAAGCTTTAAAAAAAATCTGAAGTATAATCGTGCCACACGTTGTTCACAAACATCTTTTTTTTTCTTTTAACAACATATAACCATGCTAGGCTTTTATCACTTTGATCTAATATCTACACCAATCTCTGCTGAAATGGAACCTATACCAGCTTATGGAGTTGAAAATTACAGAAAAAGAGCTTCATCACCAGCTATTATTATTTCTCACAGCTGAGGTACAGAAAATTACACCAAAACATAAAATACTAAGGTTGAGATATAGAAATTGGCTGAAATCCATCAAACTAAATTTGTATTGAGGTGAGAAGGTTCAAAATAACACTATCTTCTTCAAAACTGTTTTAACTTTCTTCTAAAGTGGCTATGAGTGGCTGATTACAGTCAGAAAACATTTCAGAAATGCATAAATACAAATATTTTTGTTTGGAATATGCAGATATCAATACCAAATCAAAATTTAACATTTTTTTTTATGGGTAAAATCAAATAAGTAAAATTTTTTTAATTAATACATTTTAACTCTGAAGTATTTTGTTTTTAAACATTTGGAAGAACAAACACAAGTTTATTTTCTATAATTGTTTTTAATTCAGTGGTGTAATTTTGCTCTCAGGGCAAAGAGTGCACAGATGGGTGTACCAGAGTTAAGGACTACAAGTTTGGACAATAATATGGAAGATTCTAAAGTGACAAATGTACTGGCCTTTCAATAAAGTACTTGATACAATTTACTTACAAAGAACAGTAACAGGGCACAAATGTTTACTTTCAACAGCATATAGTTGGTCACACTAGAGGAAATTCAGGATTTTTTTTAATATTCCCTTGTGGAATTAAGAACTTACAACTTGTATACTACTAAAATATGGGTTATTAGCTAAGATTTTATGCTATTCTAATTGATATAACATAAATAAAAAGTAGTTTAATAAAATTTTGAATGTAAGACACTAAAACCTTGTGTCATGCACAGTAGAAGATACCTGGAGTGATAGGGTTAAAGTGGTATATATGTATGTTGACAAAAGCAAATATTAAGTTTCTAGAATGAATTTAATTTAATAAGACAATGATTAGACTGTATTTTTATATAGGTTTTTCCTATATTTTAGTGATAACAAACCCAACCAGAAAGAACAATCCTCCCCCACATTGCTGTAAATAGTTGTTGTTGTTATACATTGTAGACCACAGACAAATGCATCAATCAATTTATATATATGGGCAAGTGTTAATATACAGAGCGATTTTTGTTACATGCCATGGTATATTATCAAAGCATAATATTTTTTTATCAACAAGATCAGTGAGAATGATAACCGACATCTATTTCTCTCATAAATCTGTCCAAATGTGAACAAGAGACTAAGCATTTTTATTTCGAATATGTCATACTAAAAAAGTTAATACCAAACAATATATTTAATAAATTTCCATTTGTTTTGAAATGAGTGACAATGGCTCATATGAGATATAATACATTATAATTATTTCACAATCCTAATTTTGTTCAGGAAATTTCACAAAACTGTGTTTTTTGTATGATCCTTAACCCTAATTTTTGTTTAGAAAATGTCACAAGACTATGTTTTCATTTTAGATGATGGTATTTTGTTATATTCATAACTGACAACACCACAATATGGAAATAAACTGGATACATTACATCATCTGCCAAGAGATTACTTACAAACCATCAAAGTTTCCATTGGAAAAACTGAGATACTAAATGATAGACTGATGTCTACGAAATGTTTTTGATTAATGTTAAAAAATTTTGAGAAAATGATGCCCTGCCATCCTGTTCACTAACAGTTTTATATCCTGAATGGAGTGAAAGAGTATGGTAGCCCTAGTATACACATGTATTTTGTCATCTTTTGGGCAAAACAGAATTATTCATTTGTACGGTATACAAAATCATATTAGTGATCTACTTGGTTACAGTTCATTTGAAAGTTTAAGCTTATAAATTGTTCTATGGTCCCAATATATATCCACCAATCACATCAATACTGAGCTAGGTTTGTAATCTCCGAGTGATCTTGTTATCACTGACATATATTATAAACTTACATAATAATGCAGATGAATGATTTTCTGTTTAAATTTATTCACTCAATAAATCTAAACAATTAGGGTTTGTTTCTGTCAACACATGTATACCAATTTTTGAAGGAAAATAAATGCTGATCATTGGTGGCCATTTTGAATTTGGTGAATTATACAGAAATGTAATAGATCTCATGGTGGCTCTTGTTCTAAAATTAATCAGTGTCACTAAAAGAAGCTTCATGCAATATTTGGTGCTTTTATCTACCCTGTAATGATAACCACAAAAATTGACACTAAGCAAGTTGACAATATCAAATGCCTAGACCACAATATGACACTGCTACTAATATTTAGAGCTATTATACAAAGTCATGAGTATTAAAAATAATGATAATTACCAGAGTATATATCAGGTACTAAGCATTTCATATTAATCATTGAACATAGTATATTTGAAAATATTTCTCAAAGTTAGCATTTTTCTAATCTCACCTCCACATACACAAATGCTATTTCACTTGTGAGTCTGCCTATGAAGTTTGCATTCCACTATCCGAGATAACTTCCATCTAAATTCAGCCAATATGTGTAGTGTGGTTAGGTTGCGATCAGAGAGACTGGTCAGGGTAGAGGAGTATTTAAGTGTGGTGGAAGTGGATATAGAAAGCATAAATAGAATAGACATATGAATGACGGTAACCATAGATGAGAAAAAATAAGAGGTAACAAAGCATGAGAGACAGGTGGTACAAAAAGCCAACGACTTGAATGGGGCATGCAAAACCATGTTAAAGACCCAGTCTGGCATGGAAGTCATGTGAGGAGGTCAGTGAAGAAGAAAGCAGGGGAAGAAAACACTATATGATATTGGGAAATCTGAAATGTAATGGACAATGCCACCCGATAACCAGTGATGGTGGAGATCAACAAACCATGGCTGAACAGCCTATTAAAAAAGGTAGAAAGGTGTTTCACATTAGGACAGCCAGGAGGAAAGGAGTGGCAGGTGGACCAACGAGGAAAGATCGCCACTGTTGTTGACAGATAAATTGGAAGGGTAATAGGAACATGACAAAAAGCAGGCTACATGATAGTACAGACCAGCCCAATGGGCAATGGACTGGACAAATCCCACATATGAAAAAGGAAGGTAAACATCCCATGATGAAACAAGGACGTGTGGGGTTGAAACAAGAGTAAGGGGACATTTGTTGTAGGAAAGAGGGGATCTAGATACCAGGCAAAGAAGCAGAGGAAACCAAGGTTGAGTCAACCAAGGAGGCATCACAGTAGAATGTGAAAAGGAGTGTCATGTATCAAAGGAGAAGAACAGGCATATAAAAAAGTTGGGACAAATTCTGGCTGTGAAGTTTGACAGGCAAAGCTAAGGGATGAGGAATAGGAGACCAGAATAGAAGAAGCTTGGCATTGAGAGGGGTGTAAAGGTGACTGGGAAGAACATGGTCCAGTTGTAAAAGGCAGACTGCCATAAGGTTAATAGCTCCTGGCATATAGCAGGCAAAAAACAAACCAAATATGAAGGAGCCCAGAAGAGAAGTTCCTATGCCCAAAAGCAAAGGGTCCTGGAACAGGTGGCTCTTTAACAGTTGATGTAAGAAATGATCATGAAAATGTCGAAAAGGATCATGACCAACTGATCCACCAGAAGAGACATGAAATGAATGTTCATCCTGCATCCAACCACCAGAAGTTATGTCACTGTCCAGAGAAGCGCCTCAGCTCGAGAGGGAAGCATTATTGAAAAAATAGTTTCGGTTTAGGGGTTTGGTAAGGGAACAATGGAAGCAGTATTGGCATGGTCCAGCCACTATGACAGTTCCTCAAGAAGAAAAAAGGAGGTTCACAATTGAGGACAATAGGGCCCAAGAAATAATCCACTGGATCCCCAAGGTCCACTGTGCATTCCCCAAAGGAATAAAGGGTTTCAGGAAAGCCAAAGTTTCCAAAAGTGAAAGAATCCCACACACGGAATGAGAGAAAGTTGTGCAAATTGCAGTGACCAGATATTCCATATCTCATAGATGAAGAGGAGTGGGCTAATCTCAGTTGAGACAAGAAACAAAGCCCTCATGACACAAATGAATACAAAAGGTACTGACACTATGTTGAATGGAAAAGCAAGGAATTGGAAGACACAAATTTGATGGATGGGATGTAGAAAACATCTGGAGGATGGGGTAATTGGGATGTGTAAGACGATGTCCAATACACAGACCATGGCCAACTGCAGACCAGATGAAAAAGACCACAGCCAAAGTTGGAGGGAGGAGAAAAGAAAAGGAGCAAAGAAAATAAAAGTAGGGAGAGAGAACCAAAGAAATGTATGTTGGCAAAAACTGAGATAAATGGCTGGCAAAGAGGAAGAGACAGGTACAAACAGGGACTGATGGGACAGGATAACCACTGACAAGAAAAGCAATGAACCAGATGTCAAGTAGTGGGAGAAGAGAAAAAGATGAAGGCCTGGAACCTGTAATGGAAAGGTTAGACTGATCCAGATGAAAGAGTCAAAGGGCAAGGTCGAGAAAGAAGAAAAACCTGGGAAGACAACGTAGACTGAAATCAGGCAACTTCAATCCAGGTCTCCAGTGAGAAATAAATATCACTGAAGACTTCTAGTGCGAAGAAAGGGAGCCCAATAAAGACCATGTACACAAGGAGGAAGAAGATGTACAGTAAAGAGACCATAACTCGACCCAACGAGTCTCAACAGCAGGGGAGCTAAGTAAGGAAGGATGGAGCAGAAAAAGTGGAACATGCTAATCTAACAAAGAGAAGGGAATGAACCTCTTCAGAAAACCGCACAAATAAAAGGTGGAGAGAGAGAGAGAATACAGGAGAGTGGCAAGAAAAAGACAAAGATGCAAATATGGTGAACCACAGAGTGAAACAGAAGGTAAGGGTCCCAATATCCACGTAGACCAAACAGATATCAAAGACAAGGAATCTACAAAGGAAAGGAAAAATGTTTGAAGTCAGAAGGCCTATTATTGCATCATCACACACCAGTGCAGTTCACATTAAACACATGAATTTAGGTGAAAGCTAGTCCCATGAAAATCTCATAGGCAAACATGCATTTCTGTGAGTGGAAGTGAGCTACTGTATCGAAAATAAAACTGTAAAGAACAGGACTGCTAATCTGACTCAGTTTTAACACTTGTGATAATGCTGTCAGAGTTTACACGTAAGATTTTTATTACAACTGTAATTACCATCTTTTTTTTTTACAAAAAAAAAAGTATCAAACATTTTGCAAAAAGATTAGACACAGTAGATAATACTGTATTGGATGTTCAAGACTTAACATTGCTCCTTTTTCACTCTAGGCAGATGTAATCTCTAGTAGACAATTCAATATCAAATTCGCTCTTTCATAATTATAATTATTTTATTAAGAATAACTGTTATAAATGTATAGCTATTTACTTTTCAGCCAGTTCTAAACACTAAGGCACCTACAGAGGATGAAAGAACACAAATAAGCAATTAATATCACTAATTAATCCTAATGTTGTAGATAAACCTTTATTAAACATGCATGAAATTTGAAACTGCATTTTTCAAATTTTGATAATATAAATGTTCTAGTAAACTTTCATAATAGGATTATTTGAACAGTACTGTATTTTCTTAGTTCATTACCATTCTGTAAGAATATTAAAGGGAAATGTTGGATAAATATACTATTAGACATTGAAACAATATTTTCCAATTACAGAAAACAAAACACTATTTCAATTTCAGAATATAAGCTAATAGTTCAACATTAAATGCATTAAAAATACAGAACCACTTAGTTATGTCATTATATTTTAGTAGAAATTGTGAACTTTTCTCATTTAACCATTATTAATGTTTATCTATGCTTTTTTACACATTTATACTGTTACATGCAAACTTTAAGTATCTTGATTAAACTTTTACTAAGGCAACATACATTTTTCATGAGATTTACTAGTTTACAAGTTTCAGAAATACAGATCATCAATGCCAAAAATAATGCAGATAAAATTACGCTTGTTTAAAAAGACACCATATGTTTTATCTGTATGTACCTATATTAATTTTAATGTTTTCTGTTCTTTAAATGTTTATGATTGTTATCAAATTTCAACTACATAATGAGTTAATTCTTAAATATTAAAAAGCATTAGTCATTATTTTACAAACTTTTCTTTTCTTAAAATAGAATTATTTTAATGCTGAAAATTGTACAAATACAGGTTAGTACACCAGTTCTTTCCTGATTACTACAGGAAACAATTTCTTACTTGTCAGTACAAGTGTATGTAATATCAAGTCAACTTTGTAGTTTCTTTACTTTTGCATTTCTCTATCCTGCAGTAAAATATTTGAGAAGTTTCAAATTACAAAGTAGCAGGCAAATAATTCTAAGTTGCCTTTTTATCATAGTTTTTTTTATCACATTTTTGAGTTCTGTGAAAAGATGCACTTACCCCAATATTTAACTGTTAGTTTTGTTACAAAATCGTTTTTTTCTTTATGGATTCCAACAGTAAGTAATAACTATTCACTAAGAAAAGATTAAAATTATATCCAAAATTTACACAAACAAATAAAACTGGAACAGTCAACATACAAGTAAATCTAACTCCTGAATCATCTGAAGTACAAAAATGAAATATAATGAGACTTAAAAACCATTAAAACAAACTTCTTACATTTTATGTGGCTTGGGTAAAAGCTTGAGGTCTTTCAACAACATATTAGCTGCTCTATTTGGGCAGTGACGAGCTGCTTCAAGAAGACACTGGCCCAGCCTAATTTTCTGCACTCTCTCTTCTTCCTGTAAGCTATGTACCTGGTGGATGTAAACACAATGACGACGTACTTCACTTTTTAACTGGGATTGCTGTATTAGCCTGGAAAAGGTGTTCCCTGTATTATGTCTGCATTAAAATAACAAATAACATTAGTATATGAAAAATAGATAAAAGAATATTCACAAAGCAAAATACCAGTCACTTGATAACAGTATAGACACACTCATAATGATACATATATGTTGTATCATTCAACTATTTGATTGAATTAATATGCTGACATTGTCTTAATTTATTTTTTCACAAGACAAAGAAACAAGCTGCAAAAACTTATCAATAAAAATATTTATAATTTTAAGTTTCAATACCTGACTCTCATTTTGTAATTAATCCATTCTTCTTGATACCTTTCATTCTCAAAAAGAAGTTATGAATTTTGATTTTATCTAGCTACTTTTACCTTAAACTAGTAAACTAGCTGCGATCAATCATTTATGCATGAAAAGTGGACACACAGAAACACAGATGACATTTCTGCTATATATATATATATATATATATAACATGAAAATGTACAACAATATCCACGTCTAAAATATCTTAATCCAGCTTGACATTTCCAAAATTAAAACTTGCTAACTCCAATTTAACTTAATTTTCAGAATCTTTATCCAAGAACCAAAACATTTTTTATAAAGCAAATAACTGGATGTTTTTACCATATATTTCATTGCAAACATGATATCATGGAACGCTCAGACAAAGAACATGTATTTTACCTTGGAATAAAATTGGCCTAACATCAGCAGACTTCTCAACAAACATAATTTTATATTTCTTTTTTCTTTCTATTTCTTTTCCACTTATTCTACTTCCTATGTTTGTTTATTAACTAAACTAAAAACTGTTTGGTTACAAAATTAACTTGTTGGTTCGAT